CAGGTGAGGACAGGGCCAGGTGGATGGGGACCCAGGTATGCATGTGGCTTTGGCGCAGGGTATGGGGCGAGACAAGGCAAAACCTCACGCGTCGGGATAAACATCCTAATGTAACATTTCCAGCAAATTAATAGCAATGCGAATATCCACCGTGCACAAACTATCCACATTTGAAATAAGGCAGGATCCGGCGGGTCTGAGGTCAGGGCGAGGTGCAGCGGCAAAGCTGTCTTCCCTGCACTTTCTGCTACTTTGCTTATGGTGAACCCTTGGCGTTAATGTTGCGTTTTGAGAATGCTATATTGCACTATATTCTTTGTGCTCTTTCTGCATTAGTGGCTCCTTAGACAAATCATGCTCTTGCCTCCATGCTGGTAGCTGGCATCTAGGGTGAAGGCGGGAGGAGGGGTTGGGATGGAATTTGGAGGCTGGGGCAGTGGGGTGAGGCTGGCACCAGGGATGGGTCTGGATATGGTGGAGGCTGGGAATGGGCTGGGACTGAGGTTGAGGGTAAGTAGGGGGGAGGCTAGGGTTGGAATTGGCCTGTGTTTGCCTTTGGGGTTGGAGACAAGGGTGTAGTCACCGTGGAACTGACTTCTGGGTCGCCCTCAGATCCTACACCAATCTGGCAGGGCCTGCACAGACCTTACCCAGGAGATGAACCGGGCATCCAGATAATCGAGGCCAATTACTCCAGGAAGCACCCAAACTACCGGTGGTCCACACAGGGCAGTGACCTCATGCTCATCAAGCTGAGCAGACCAGCTGTGGAATCAAACACCATTCAGACCATCAGTGTCGCCTCTCGATGTCCCATGCCTGGAACCATGTGCTCAGTCTCTGGCTGGGGCCAGCTGATGGATGGTGAGTTTGCTGTTCCTGTCTCTACACTCACTGATATTTGTGGTTTTCTCTGTCCTGGAGCATTGCTGACCCTGTGTCCTTTGTCACAGGCCAAAGTCCCGACGTCCTGCAGTGTGTGACTGTCCCCATGGTCTCGGAATAGTCCTGCAGGAAAGTGTATGAGCCATTCTATGATTCCACTATATTCTGTGCTGGCGGTGAGGGCCACAAGGACTCCTGCTGGGTAAGAGCAGGAGCAAGGAGCAAGGGATGAGGAGCAAGGAGGTTTCTGAAGGGACGTGGGGCTCTAAAACCTGCAGAGGACACAAGTTCCTGCCGGAATGAGGAAGACTGTGAGGACCCGGAGGGCGTGGGGAGACGACCTGGAACGTGGTGCAGGTAAAAGAGAAACAGAAGAAACTGGGAGGGTGAGAAGGAAACCAGGAGACTTGTGGCCAAGTAGGCACAGAGTGTGTCACAGAGAGACAGAGAGGAGCGAGGAGCAGGCAGAGTGCACTGCTGAGAGAGGAGGGGTGGGAGAGGAGCCAGGAGGACACCGGGAGGAGCCAGGGAGAAGGAACCTGCTGTAAGGACAGACACACTGACTGCACTCCGGATGCCCAGCCCCACTGCCCAGTACAGCTCCATCTCCTGTTCCAGTGGCTCCCAGTCCCCAGGTCCGTGTCCTCTGACCCTCCACCTCACCCCCAGCCCCAGGTGGCCCAGGAGATGAAGGCAGGGGGAGGAGCTCCTCAGGGGAGCTTGGCCAGGGCTGAGAGGGAGGGCTGATGCTGGAGGGGCAGGCCTGTGCCTGCCTGCTCACCACACTACAGATGGATGGCCTAGTATTTTCAAAGCATAGCTGCCCAGGTCGCCCCTTGGCTCTCTGTGTCTTCACTGTCTTGGCATCTTGGCAGGGTCTGAGCTTTGTCTCCCCATTGCCTCTGCCTCTCACACCCATGTGTCTGGAACCCGCTGCTCTGTCCCCCTCTGTCCCTCTGGGCTCTCCACGCTGCCCCTGGCTCCTGCACTGTGTATTTCCGCCCTGCTCTCACTCTGCCTGTCTCTGTGCTTCTGGCTTTCTGTGTGTGTCTCCTCCACCCTCCTCCCACTCTGCCTAACTTGTTCTTCTCTTCCCTCCACAGGGAGACTCTGGAGGCCCCGTGGTCTGCAATGGGCTTCTGCAGGGCCTTGTGTCCTGGGGACTCCCTCCCTGTGCCCGACCTGGAATTCCCAGTGCCTACACCAATCTATGCAAATTCAAACAGTGGATTGATAATATTATCCAGGGCACAGAACCATAGATGACAGTTTTTGGGGGGAGTAATGGGAATTGAACTCAGGACCATGCCATGCAGGTGCCTGTGCAGCTGAGCTATATCCCTGGCCCCCCTATGGATGACTCTGAGACCAAGAATCCAGCACCACTTTCCAAAAGTACCCATAGGCTCCAGCCTCCAGCCCCTCTTCCTTCAGATGCAGGGGCCTACACCCCAGCCCCCTTTCACACACCCACGTGCTCTAGGCCAGGTCTCCTCCTTCAGACCAGGGGGTGCAGGCCCCAGCAGCAGCCCACACCCACAAACAGTCCCCCTCTTCACAAGTGAAGACCAGTGATTTCTGGAAGCAGCTGCCTCAGGAAGACAAGACATGCAAAGATGCTTTTCAGTTGTCTTTTCTCTCCCTCTCTACAAAGAGAGTTATGGACTCCAGTGGTCTGTCTGCGTGGCTCACGCTCTATTCTGAGGCCGTCCAGGAGATCCTTCAAGGGGGACAGAGGTCTTGGGCAGCCCAAGGTGACATATTACAGTGCAGAACTGTAAAGGGTCACATGAACACACCCACTAACTTAGGGGCTAACTCTCAACTGTGCATCCCGGTAATGTGCTCTCACACCTGTGTTAAATGCGTGCTCTGCAGTGGATAAGTGCTCTGTGAGTATTTACAGCTCAGATTCTGTACATGAGACTGAGCCATAGGAATCCCGTCACTGGTGCTATCAGGAAGACCAGTGGCTTCTGTGTGACCACAGACCATTCACTTGCAAGCTGCCTCCTCCTAACCTTAAGTTCGCTCCTGGAACAATTTCAGAGTTGAGCAAATCAGCAACAGAGGGGAGGTCCCTTTCTCAAGGTCCTAGCATTGTAAGGGACCCAGGATGAAACTGCGGAGGGGCTGGGGGCACAGCACAGTGGTGGAGTGCTCTCCCATTATCTGTGTTCAGTGCCCGCCCCTGCGAGGAAGATAAGCAGGACTCTACGGGGCCCCCAGCCTGTCAGCCAGCTCCATGCTGCATGAGGCCCATCCCCACACAGGGGTCCCTTGGCTGTCTTGAGCCAGCTCCTAATCTACAGTCCTCCTCCTCACTTTAGGTATTTTGCAGAGCAGAACTGTGACCTGACCGCCATCTCAGGCATGACTCAGCTTCCCCCACAGCTTTGTCCATCAGATGCTAACGGGGACTGGATTTGGAGGACAAAATCTCTTTAGCCTCAACAGACCTGCTCTCTAATGTCACCCTCTGGCTGGAGAGAAGCCTTAGTCACACAGCAGATTCCCACATGCACAAACGCTTCGGGGCGCCCCCTGTGCACTGCTCTGGCATGGTTTCATAAAGCCATGGGGACAGATCTGGGATGTGTCAGTGTCTGATGGGACAGTGCTGCCATCCTACCTACGGTGATGTGTCACTGTTGAAAACTCATCACAGTGACACACCCACTGCCAGGACCCTCCTCAGAATGCTTCGGCCTCTCTGCACACCCCTGCCGCTGTGCTGGCCCTGTGTGAGGCCGTTCTGGAGCCCTCTCCCGAGTCTTCAGCAGCGTCGTCAACAGCACAGTGCACGGTGCTGCTGCCAAGTGGCACCGAGGGAAAGGCGGGCTCAGGGAGACATGCTGGTGTGTCCTTGTCCTCCTCCTTTAGCTGACCTGGGACGGAGAGACTTCTGGCTCCTCCCTGAATTTAAAATATTTCTTTGTCACTCTCTATGAGGGTTCTCAGCTTGTGTCCTCGGTCTCCCTGTCCCACCCGTCCATGCCCCTGACTCATGTGGCAGGAGTCCCTGCGGTTGGATCCTCCGCCCGCACAGAACATGCTGTAGTGGTACAGGGAGTCGTAGACCTCGCTGCAGACCTCCTGGGGCGACACTGAGATGTTCATGCACTGCAGCCTCTTGGGCAGTCCACCTGGGGATAGAGGTGTCAGCGCCTGCGGGGTGCGCAGCCGGGGGAGGCAGTGCGCGGGCGCCCCGCCTGCTCACCATTGGCCAGCCGACCCCAGCCGGACACCAGGCGCTCTTCCCCCGCCTTGGGGCACCGCGAGGCCACGCTGATGCTCCGGATGGTGCTGGACTCAGGCACCGCCTCTTTCAGCTTGATGAGCATGAGGTCGTTGGCAAAGGAGGGGTTGTCGTAGTCCGGGTGCTGGACGGACAGCAGGGGCTCCAGGACCCTGCTGCCTGGCTCCTGGCTGGCCTCCAGGCTGTGCAGCCCCAGCCCCACGCTGTAGGAGCTGAGGAGTGCGGGGCCGGTGAGGTCTGGGGCCTGCACGTGCAGGCCAGCCTGCTGGCATACCTGAGCCCGCCCTGCGTGCAAACTGGGATCCCTGCGACCTAAGATCTGTGTCTGGGAGCAGAGGGCTCTGGCCCGCCCCACCCTGCAGCCCGGGCCGCCCCCAACCCCAGGCTGGGCCCTCACAGGAGGTGCCCACACTCACTCCAGCAAACAGTTCGGGGCTGACAGCACTCACTGCGGGTGCACCAGGACGCCAGAGCAGAACAGTTCGTTGTCTGAGCGCAGGGCCGCCTGCCAGGGCTGGGAGTGCGGGATGCAGTCCTCGTCGTGGATGATGTAGCCGCCAGGGTAGAGGGCTCCTGGGGGCGGAGTCAGACTTGGGCGTGGGTGCCGGGCAGGGCCAGGGTTCCAGGGCACAAGGATACAGTGTGGGCGGGGTCCGGGCTGGCGGCAGGCCCTGGTACCTATTAGCTGTGATAGGAGGGGTCTAGGACCAGCTGGGCCTGGCACAGCACTTCTGCTGCCCGGCCTGGAGCTAAGTTTCCAGCAATCTCCTGCCTTGAACTCCTGCCCAAGGTTGAAGGTGGCAAAGTCTGCTTAAGAAGGTGACCAGCACCATGCCCTCTGCTGGTGCACTGGGAAATCACAAAGCCTTCTGGGTAGTGAGCCGTCATTTCCTACAGGATCCTGCATAACCTGGGATTCCAGGATGGGTGGCAGAGCTCCCCTGCTTCTGTCCCCTCTGTTTCCCCACTGTTTCTCCTCGGCCCCCTCCTGGTGCCGCGCGCTCCTCGCTGCTCACCGCAGCTCCCCTCTGCTCACACTCGCGGGACATCCACCTGGTGCCCGGCACTGCCCTGGAGCCCGGGAGGACGGTGCTGAGGAGGGAGCAGCCCGGTGCTGGGAGAGAAGCGCAAACGGGAGAGGAACGCAGAGGTGATGGGAGATCAGGAGGTCGCGCCGCTGTGCTGTGCATGGGAGGAGATGAGCCAACACTGTTGGATGCAGCGGGAGGTGACCCCGTGGCTCCTGGGGAGAGCAGAGGGCAGGCAGTGCTGAGGGCCCTGGTGCAGAGGGCCTGGAGGCTGTGAGAGGGGAGAAGCCGTGGCTGGAGGTGGTGACCAGCAAGAGGCTTGGGCCCGTCCTGCAAGGCCTCCGCTGGGTCCCCGGGGCTCCCTGCCTTTCCTGTGCTAAGCTGGGAGCTGTGGCTGGTGCTGGGCAGAACTCTGAGCTCACGGCCGCCCTCTAGTGCCCGTCTGGGGATAAGGCTGCTGGGTTCTGGGGCCAGGAGGGCCTGTGATGGGCTGACCTGTGGGCGAAGGTCCTGCCTCCCCTCCTTCTACTGCCTCTTGTGAGGCCTGTGCTCCTGGCCTCACCCTCTGGGCAGGAGCTGAGCTCTGCTCTGCCTTCCCTGTGGCCGGGACGCCAGCCGGTGTCCTCTGTAGGGACTCTTGCCTGCCTTCCGGGGGTAGGCTCTGGAGTCCCTAAGTGGGAGAGCTGAGATCGATGGCAGAAGCCCGTCCCACTGGTCTTTGTCACTCTGTTTTTTTATAGGGTAACTCTGGGGTGCACTGGTCCACGGTGGTGTCCTCCAAGGATTGGGGACACGTGGCACCCCACCTGGGGCTTCTACAATGCACCTGAATCTTCACTAAATGGAAGCCCTGTATGAACTAATCAGGGAGTCTGTGGCAGCCAACCCTTGAGTTTGCTGGCCTGCCTGCTGCCACCATTAACACTGACCGATGCGAACTCTGGTGTCAGTGTACTAGACTGGTGGTGACAGACAAGAAGGCTGTCACGGAACTGACCAGTGTGAGAGACTCCAGCTCTCTTGACCTGGGTCCTGATGTGCAGTAGACAGAAGCAGGAAAGCGCAGACATAGCTATGGACCAGTGCTGCTCAGCTTTTATCAGTGGTTCTTCTTTGGGGGACTTTTGTAGTAAAAAGAGAAATCGTCTCCTCCAGGTTGTAGAAGGTGATACAGAAGGACAGAAGTAGCCACAGAATGTGTGGTACAGACACGCAGCTAGGATGGGCCATGAGGTCCACGGAGAAGGACGCGTGGTAGATACTAAGGAATACCACGCAGGAGCCGGAAGTGCAATACATCAGATACCAGTCAGTGGTGGTCCCTGCACCAAGCCGTTGGGAGAAGCATGAACACAGAACGTGATGGACAACTTCACTCTGTGTCCTGGGGAACTGGGGTAGGTTGCCGAGGACTGGAAAACACCCTGAGGCAGTCAGCACGAGGGAAGATTTATTAGGACAATGAAAGGAAAGGACAGGAGTTAATTGCAAGTTTCTCTGGCCCACAAGCAGCAGGCCTGTGTCCCACAGCATTGCTTGGCAAAATCTCGCAAGAGGTGTATACTCATAGAACGGCACCTAGCGGCCAAATCAGGACTGGGACGCTCTGGAAGCACCGCCAGGCAGATTCCACCTGGGCGAGCAGTCAGCAGCAGCTCCTCTTAGAAAGATCCCCTGAGGTAGGCATGCTGAGCGCCAGCGCTGCTGAAAATCTCACACAAGTGTGCAATGCATGGCAGCTGTGTACTCCACTTAGGAAGGTTCTCAAGGATGCAGCCTGCAGTGGCATCACACGAGTCCAGTGAATCCAGCTCTTCATCATAGTGTTCCCCATGTAACTTTCACCCCGAAATTCTGGTCTCTGCCTACAGTGCTCCCTAGACTTAGTGAGGATGTTGGGAACACAAAGGGTCATTTCAGGAAGGAACCTGGTTCCCAGTGCTCTAGTTTTCCTCCGGGACACGCATACTGGGAAAGAGTACAGGCACGCAAATACTCACCCAGGAAGCACACAGCAGGGGCAAAGAGTCCCCCAAGCACTCTGGAAAGAGCAGATTATGGGGAGAAGGGGGTTTGGTGAGGTTCAGAGTCAATCAGTGAACAAATGCACATAAATACAATTGGAGGCACTTGTAAATCTGAATTCTGCAAAGCGAAAGAGTTTTGGCTCAGACAGGACACTGTAGCCGGTAAAGCCTCAGGTGGAACTAAGAAGCTCCATCTCCCCCACCCTAGGAATTTACCTATGGCACCAAAAGAATACCAATGGGCTACCTGTGCATCACTAATGCCCCTTAGGTTCCACCCCAAACCTAGGCACTTATATGCCTCACTCCATGTGTTCCACAGAGAGATTGCTGACCCCGGGGGGAGATGCTGCACCCCAGGGGTTCGGGGGTGTCTCTCCCTGCATTCTCAAAACAAAGGTCATTTGTATTTCATACTTCTTATCTTTTCAGCCACTGCCGGTCCCCCACAGTTCTATCATATGGTTCCCTGACCGGGAACGGCCGATGAGAGATTCCTGGGGCCCTCCCAGTTTGAGTCCCCTGCTCTTCAGGACCAGGACCGGACTACATCCTGCATTAATTCTTCACTTCTACACTCGGGAGCTGTAAACTTGTTGCTGCTTGTTTGCAAACAACACCGACCCAATTTATCACAGGTGAGCAAACTCCAGAGAATTCTTTGGCACTGGGCTTGGCCCCAGGCGGGTTTTCTCCCCTTTTCCATGGGTTTGCGTGACACTCTAATGTCCTTAGACAGCCCAAGGCAGAGTTTTTCTGGACCAACCTAGGTTTACACTGAGAGACTCTCATGTCCTTCAGAGCTTTAAGCTCTCGGGGGCAGAACTGTTACTAAACTCACGTGAAATCCACTTGTATATTGGTGATGGCCAATTATTATGAGTTTTGGAATCATATAAAACCAATCGGTCTAGAGTAAAAAGTGATGACTTTAAATTGAGTAGACCACTGTCCGTTGCCTCATCTGGCTATAACTCCGTGGGTCAGACCCCACACCAGATTTTATCTTGGGGACCACTTCCTGTCCCCCTCCAAAAAAACCATACCTATTCATAGCTTATCACACTGATGACAAGTTTATAAAACTCTATCTTTAAGCCTTTGTTTTGGGAATGTATGTCCTTTCCTGCAGGTGTCCCTTTGTCTCCTCACCACTTCCCCTCCTCAAGCAGCGCGCCGACCCATTCCCTGGTGTTGAGAGATATGCGCAGGCTACTTTAAGCTTTCACACTGCACCCCAACTCCGCATGTGGTATCTCAGCTCTCATGTGGTGCTCCAGGTCCGTGTGGGATTTGGCTCTAATGCTGCGCCCTAATCTGCGCATCCCGCAGGCGGTTCCTGTGCCTCCAGAAGCAGTCCCAGCTTCATGCTGCATCCCAACTCTGCCTCGCGGCTCCACCCCCGTGCGCCGCACACCCCCGCTGCTGTGGCCGCTGCCGCCTTGCGCGTTTCTGGGGGCAGTGCCAGCCCACCCGCACTACGTTCTGGCACTCGCCCTGCCTTTACTCTGCGTGCCCGCCCCACGCTGGGCCTGCTCTGCTGGCACCCTGGACCACAAACACAGATAAACAGCAGCTCCTCTGCTGGGCTCAGAGATGCTATTTTTTTTTTAACATTCTCAAACCATTTAATCAAGGTTAAATAAGCTGGCAATAGACAAGATTTTAACTGATAAACAGGAAAGTGGCCACCTGGTAATTTTATTAGCCTTGTTTATCAATTAAAGCCTTCAGTAATCTCCTGTTTAACAACTAAAATTAAGAGATATTTATGAATTCCTTTCTCCACTGAGCCATAATTAACTATATTCAACTGATATTAAAATTAACTATATTCAACTGATATTAAATAACATCGTAGCTGATTTCTCTCCTAAATAAAAAGGTAAAAAATTAATTAAACAGGCCATCCTCCAAAAATCAGATGGCATTAGACATTTTATATATATGACATAAATGACATGTCAGTTCTTAAAATTGTCTGGACCTGTCCTCCTTATGAGAAGCCATTACTAAAATCATAAATACCCTGTTGATTATATTTGACTCCTGCATACTTACTTAATTCCACAGATACCTTCTACTGTAGACCAGATCCCAAACAAAAAGGCAAAACTTGACCTTCAAACCTCATAAAGATCTTAATATGGCTTTTCATGTTTTCAGCAACAGAGATAACAATAACAGTGACACTTGGAGTTCTGAGACAGGTAAACTGACACAAGGTGGAGCTGCCTGCCCCCCCCCCCCACCATAGACCATGCCTCAAATGCAGCAGAAGACATTGGGCAAGAGAGTGCCCCATCCTGGTGTTCTTTGAAATCTTATCCCAGGGCTACTGGACTGTCCTAGCCACCAGAGAGTGGGTAAGCCATCCTAACTTCTAGTCCTCACAGAAAATGCCAACACTGCCAGATTCATCGCTGCCAGATCTGCTTAAACTTGCTGCTGAAGACTGACGGGGCTCAGGGCCAACAACAGCCCACTTTATGGTTGTCCGTCTTAGAGTCCAAGTCCCACTAAAAGTCTCAGGTAAGACATTCTCTATGCTTGTGGACATAGAGGCCATATGTACAGAGTTCTTCCTGAGTTTTCAGGCTGCTATATTAAATCCTCAGCCTCTAGGGGTATTGACGGTCAACCTATGCCATTTACAAACAGGGCCTATTTCATGCAGGTTCCAGACTGCTTCTTCCCAATCCACCCAGTGGTGCCAAATCTTCCCTCCACCACTCACTCTATAGTCCTAAATCTTAAAAATGCTTTTTATCCCCTTGTGTTTATGCAGGCTGACCCAGACACTGAGGCCTCAACAGCTTACACCTGTTATCGCTACTAAACCTCTCCTCAGGGATACAAAGCATCCCCTTCCTTTTTTATTCACCAATTTCTCAGACAACCCTGGACAAGACTGACAGATAAATTTTGCCTTCTCACCTTTGTTTATACTTTTTCAGGATACATAAAAGCCTTTCACACAACCAGGGAGACTGCTGATATACTTGCTAAAGTCCTATTACAGCAAATCATTCCAAGGACTACAACCAGGTTACAGCGACCCATACCTGATATTCTTGGCAACCTCAACATTGATCAAAGTTGCTAGACTGCCATCCTGGTTTCACATCACTCAGGCTAAGCGGTGCCCTCCCAGCCCTAAATCTGATCATTCTGAGTGGTCATCTCATCTTCTGTCACCCACCCGTCTCTGTTTCATGAAGGCCTCGCAGCCACAGTTAACAGGCTAAGTCATGTTTTGTTATCCACTTTGGTTCCAAATTTCTTTTTTTTTTTTTTTTTTTTTTTTTTGTCTTTTTCCTTTTTTTTATCGGTACCAGGGATCGAACTCACGACTGCCTGCTTTCAAGGCAGGCGCTTATGCCGCTGAGCTAAATCCCCAGCCCCGGTTCCAAATTTCTTACATTCTGTTAATGATCATTTTTATAGCAGGACTCTTGACAGTCTTTCCTAAAGACTCCCACATCATGCGTAAGATCATCTTCATAACGTTCTATGTGACAACTGTCTTAGCTCTTTCCACCCTCAGCTGTTTGGTTAAACGTGACATCCCTGAAAGCCTGGGCTCTTACCTGCCTTATGCTGGTACAGCCACTGCCTTCCTTGCTCCCCCTATTTTTTCCAGTTTAACTGCTGGACCAGAGACAAGTTTTACCCACCTACCCTCTTAACTTTTACCCTTTCAGATGGGGGAGTAGTCACCTCTCATAACTTCACTGCTCCTAACCCCACGTTTATTTTTTCAGAATTCTGCCTTACTGTTGAAATGTTTATATCTCAACATGTCCTGATATAATGACATATCTAAATCAAAAGCACCTTTCCTTTTACCTCACTTGGGTCCTTAAATATGATGGTGCCATGCCTCCTCATAACATCTTGTCTCTTTGTTTTTCCAGTCTAACATACGTGCATTCACCAGTGAAGCTGTCCTAGCTACAACACCTGGCACCAGCTTCTACATGGGCATCAACTGTCATTCTGTTGACTCCCCTAGACCCCAGTACAGCACCCTCTTCCAGCAGGAAGCAGTTAAAGAAAGAAATCTTCGCCCCTTTCCTCATAATAATAATCATAAGACTATACGGCGCCGCGGGCAACGAAAGACGTAACTGTGTTTGGATCAGCTCTCAATATTTATTGTGTACAGCAAAACCGGATCTGACAAGATCCGCCACCCTCAAGTTTCTTCCTCTTCTGCCCGTTGGGGGCAGAAACACACACTTATATAGGATCTGAGTAACCAATCAATACAAAGCAGAAGTCGCATGCTGATAGGCCACAGTCACCGGTAGCTAGGTAGACACTCATTTTGACAGGGCTGTTTGCGCGGCAACAGGGACCTGGAAGCAGGAAACGGGCGCCACCTTAGGGGAGCGGCTCGGGCAACCCCCAATATCTCCCCCTTTTTTATTTAAATTTGATACACAAATCACATGGGTCTTTTCCCCTCCGCCCATATACTGTGGCCAGTGCCAAAAGAAAAGGGGAAGGCCCAAGACAGGCCGGGACAAGAGAGAGTGCAGAGGTCTATACCCCGCTGTGCACCATCTCATTCTATGCATATCTTTGCGCTAAGACCATGCTTGAGATGGGGTGCTCATTTTTCGCAGGGCCAGGCATTATTGAGTGGAACCTGGATGCATATAGACATGCATTCCTATCACCCCCTGTTCAGCTCAACCAGGGTGGATGATACTGCAGTACCCTTGGTCTTGCATCTCATTGCCCCTGTTATTCATACTCCCCAACACATCCGAGGAGGAAGAGGAGGAGGAGGAGGACCCATGGGTGCAAACAGCCAATTTAAATCTGATGTTCTGCCAGGCGCAACAAATGGGCCGCAGCCGGTCCCCCTGTCAGGCCCTGTTCTGTAAGTTGCATAGCGGCCAGCGCCCTAAGCCTAACTTGTTGTTGAGTCTGCATTAATCGATCAAGCAAACACTTAATGACCACTAAGCCTACTAGTATGGCTACAGCTATGAGGACCCAAGTGGTGAGGTTAGGCCACGAGAACCATGACGTTACACAATCCCACAAGGATTTCAGGACTGTCCCCAGACTATCAAGGTCATAGGTTACTGGCTTTAGGTGGATATTGTCCATGCGATCAATGGCACCGAACACCTCTGCGGAGATGTTTTTAAAAGTAGGAAGGTAGGTGTTTTGGAGCCAGTGAGTCACCTTTTTGGTAGTGCCAGTTAAATTAGTGCGAGCGGGGGTCACGCAGAGGCGGGCAGCCAGCCATCTTTGATCGCATAGCTGCATGGCTACATTCCAAAGGTTGTCAATCTCTTGTCCGATTTCATCAGTCTCCTTTTGGATCTCTAAGATGGTCTGGCTGTTAAGTTCAATGAGGAGCTCTTGTCTCCTCAAGGCGTAGGCGGTCTCGTTGGCAAGATTGTTGACTGCTTCCATGGTCAAGGCTATCTGATTCATGGTCCACGCTTGCAACACCGTTTGGCCTATGGCTGGGACAAAAACAGAAGCAGCAACTCCGAGAGCATTAATAAGCCAATCTTTAACACTTCTAGTCTGTCTGGAGGGTAACTGAGAAGCTGAAATATGTTGGACTACCGGACCCACCCAAGAATTTGTCTCTACTGGTACCCAAAGAAAG